TATTTATTTTGTTTTTGTTTTTTCTGTTTATTTGATTCGCAGGGTTTGACCAAAGTAGGATGCATATTCTCTTTGGTTTTTGACCCAATGCTTTAATGGTTCATTTTATTCTTGCATGCCCTCTTTGCTGTCGCACTAATAATAATAAAAAGGTTTCATCATCTCATAGAAAATAGGAAGTTTCATAGAGAGTGATGGGGTTACGCAACATTTTTTTTAGGCCTTTTGTCTCACTCGTTGCCGTGATGAACAAGCGCATTGATCGCATGGATGAGCCTTTAAAGCGTCACATTGAGCAGCACGAGAAATCTGGTGAGGATCTTTGCGCCAGTGTTTGGCGGGAGTATTGGTCCTATCAAAAAGCACTTTTACCGTATCGACGAGAAAGACTAATGAGTGAAATCTCATATATCACAGAAGGAAAACTATCTTTGGCCAATGTAAACATGAAAGACATCATTCTCTTCTCTCGAGCAATTACAAAATGTTTGTTTTTATTTATCATATTCGTCATAATAGGTAGACGTTCTGTCTTCCCTTCACTCGAACCAACATCAGTCTTTGTAGAAGAAGTCAACGAAAACTGGCAACCAAATCACAAACGGGGACTGTATATCGACGAATTGTGTTAACAACAGGAAACAATATAAACACTGCAAAAAGGAAGGAAAAAATCAGGATGCAGTAGAGGAGCAGTTCACTCTGGGCCGTATTTCATCCAAACATAGCAATCATTGAAGTCAACTCTGTCTTACAAAAAATTTTTTTTTTTATCATTCACTTAATCTCTATTTATGACTCCAACTAAAAAAAAAAAATTGTTTCACTAAACCAACATACGCCAAATTATATCCATATTCTTTTCTCTTACAAAGATAAAAAAAAAAAAAGAAAACTCCACTTTGCAAAGCAATTAGGTATGCGTCGCTTTGTCTGTAAGCTTGCTACCGGGCTTCCGGTACGCTTCGCCTCCACGACTGCAACAGCAGGTGGTGCGAAGGCCGCCTCTGCTACGGCAACCACTGCTGCCGGTGCCGGGTCAGCTGCCGCTGGCCAGAAGTCTTTCTTCAAGGCGACGGAGATGATTGGATACGTTCACTCGATTGACGGTACTATTGCCACGCTGATTCCAGCCCCTGGCAACCCTGGTGTGGCGTACAACACGATCATTCAAATTCAGGTGAGCCCGACAACATTCGCTGCCGGTCTGGTGTTTAACTTGGAGAAGGACGGTCGCATCGGTATTATCCTGATGGACAACATTACGGAGGTGCAGTCTGGCCAGAAGGTGATGGCGACTGGCCAATTATTGCATATCCCTGTGGGTTCAGGTGTGCTCGGCAAGGTGGTGAACCCGCTTGGCCACGAGGTGCCTGTTGGTCTGTTCACACGCAGCCGTTGTCTGTTGAACCAGACAGTGGGTAAGGTGGATGCCGGCGCCCCAAACATCGTGTCACGCTCTCCCGTGAACTACAACTTACTTACTGGATTCAAGGCAGTTGATACTATGATTCCCATTGGCCGTGGCCAGCGTGAGTTGATTGTGGGCGATCGCCAGACGGGTAAGACATCCATTGCTGTTTCGACGATCATCAACCAGGTGCGTATCAATCAGCAGATTCTGTCGAAGAACGCTGTGATCTCAATCTACGTCTCCATTGGGCAGCGTTGCTCCAACGTGGCGCGTATTCACCGCCTCCTTCAGTCATATGGTGCACTGAGGTACACAACTGTTATGGCTGCCACTGCTGCTGAACCCGCTGGTTTGCAGTACCTTGCTCCGTACGCTGGTGTGACAATGGGTGAGTACTTTATGAACCGTGGCCGTCACTGTTTGTGCGTGTATGATGATCTTTCCAAACAGGCTGTTGCATACCGTCAAATTTCACTGCTACTGCGCCGCCCACCAGGGCGTGAGGCGTACCCTGGTGATGTCTTCTATCTTCACTCGCGTTTGCTGGAGCGTGCTGCCATGCTTTCACCTGGAAAGGGTGGTGGTTCTGTGACAGCTCTCCCCATCGTGGAGACACTCTCCAACGACGTGACGGCATATATCGTGACGAACGTTATTTCAATCACTGATGGACAGATCTACCTTGACACGAAACTGTTCACGGGTGGTCAACGACCTGCAGTGAATATTGGTCTCTCTGTGTCACGTGTCGGTTCATCTGCTCAGAACGTGGCGATGAAAGGTGTTGCTGGAAAGCTTAAGGGCATTCTCGCAGAGTACCGCAAGCTTGCTGCTGACTCTGTGGGAGGACAACAGGTGCAGACGATTCCCATGATTCGTGGCGCTCGTTTTGTTGCACTGTTCAACCAGAAGCAGCCATCGTACTTCATGAGTGCAATTGTCTCATTGTACGCGTGCCTGAATGGCTATCTGGACGACGTAAAAGTACAGTACGTAAAGTTCTATGAATATCTATTGGTGCACAAGGACCTGAGCATCATGTATGGCTCGGCAAAGAACAAGTTTTTCTACATGTATGTGCAGGAGCTGAACTACCTGATCCGCTTTTTCACTCTGAACAGTCCAATCTTGCACGGTGAACTGGAGGAGATGCTGAAGCAGCACACTCAATTGTTTCTGCAGCACTACCAGTCAAGAATGAACGCCATTAAAAGCGAGAAGGAAGTGAAGGCGCTGAAGAACCTTTTGTACTCTTGCAAGCGCGCTGTGTAGTGTTTGTTTTTGTTAATATTGTGTTTTTTTTTTTTTTTCGTTTTTTGACGTTTTGATGGTGGTTAGGATGAATTATTTAAGAAGGTGTAAGCTGCGTAATTTGCCGATAGGAGTTTTTCTTAAATAATAAATTTTATAATAATAATAATAATTATTATTATTATTTGTTACGCCAATTAAGTACTTTTATTGTTGTACTTGTATGTTGGATGTTTTTATTTATTTGTTGAATATATATATATATATATTTTTGCTCTTAATTTTTTTTTTTTTGAAGGTACTTTTGTTTTTTATTGATGTCGAAGTTTTCTTCAAAAGGATGGTGTTACACACGATATGGACCTCTTTCGCGTGTGTTAAAGATGAATTCTTTTGATCTCGATGCAAGTAAGGATGAGGTTATAGTGGATGTTGCAATGGCGGCTTTGCATCGCACTGATGCTGCTGTAGTGAATGGAACAGCGCTTGGGAGGAAAAGGGTCTCTCTTTCTTCTTTTCCCAGAATAGGTGGATCTGAGGGTGTAGGAAAGGTTGTTTCGGCAGCTGGATCTAAAAATGTTAGAGAGGGTGACACGGTGTGGGTTGCGCCAATACATGGAACTTGGGCTACAAGAATTGCTGTCAATCATAATATGGTTCATAAAATCGACCCAAAGTTTGCACAACTTGCCGTTAACGCATCTAATTTTCTTGTGGCGCAGCATCTTCTTAATGGTTATACGAGACTTCGAAAAGGGCAGGTTGTTTTGCAGAATGGTGGTAGTAGTATAACTTCTTTGGCTGTCTCTGCGTTAGCGAAAACATACGGCGTGAAGGTTTTGACTGCTAGCTCCCCTGGGGAGCGGTTCCATGGTGCCAAAGAACGTCATGCAAAATACGGGAGCGAAGTTTTTGAGTATAATGGAAAAGGAGCTCGATTGGCGCGGCAGGCAATAGGAAATACCGGTGCAACTTTGTATCTCAATGGGGTTGGGGGTCGCCACTTTGATACATTTCTTAGTCTACTCGGAGGCGGTGGCCATGCGGTCTCTTACGGTGCGCAGAATGGTGTTGGTTTGATGGTTTCCGGCTCAAATCTGATTTACAATGAAGTGACTATGCAGGGATTGTTCCTCCCTTCCTACCTCGAGACTCTCTCGTATAACGAGCGGCAAACACAACTAGAGTTTGTACTAGCACAACTTTCGTCCCTTGGGTTTAGCTACCCTACAACATCAGCCTCATCTTTGGATGATTTGCCAAATATATGGGATCAAGTTTTTGTGCACGGTGGAAAAAAGGGAATACTCGTTTTGAGTAGATGAAGGATTAGGAGCGGTCAATAGTATCGGTGATCTCTTCTTCTTTTACAGTATTTTTTTTTTTTTTCTTTTGTAACTAGCGTTTATCTACGGGGATGATATTGGGTGAGGATAGTAGGGTGGTGCAAGAGAGGGACGCAAAGGGGTTAGGGGTATATATATATTTATTTATTTGTTTTTATTTCTTCGTGTGTGTGTGTGATTGTGATTAAAGCAGTATTTCCCTTAGATTTATCGGGCCTTGCTTCTTCTTTCCTGTGTCAAAGGGGGCGTTTTAATTCAGTTGTCATTGAGGAATATTAGTTTATAGTGATTAGCAATAATGTTTCGTATTTGCCTTTGTTTCTTTTTGTTCCATTGGCATTGAAAGATAATATAAAAGCAAATTACGCTCTAATTTTTTGTTTTTCCTCCTTCAACAGGAGAGGTGGTTTGCTAGACGCTTTATATTGCCATGTCTGAATTGTGACCAGTGGATTTTGCAGTAATTATTCTTTTTTTTTTATTCTGTTTTTGTTCTTTATAAATTGTAATACAAAGTCGTAGTGGGGAGTGGTTTTACGCCATATGCCGCACCCAGACAATAAAAGAATCGCCATGCATGTTGATGCTGTTACTGTGCTTGACGACATCAGACGAACAGGACAACTGATTGAGGAATTCCATCGTCTGAGGAAATACGGTGGAAATCGGGCGGCGTTGGAGCGCATAAAAGTTGAAATTCGTAGACTTAAGGAAACACAGCGTACATTCCTTGAGTTAGAGAACACACGGAAAAAAAACTATGTTCAACATGATGGTTTCCATGCATCATCAACTCGAAGTGATGGACTTATGATAACTCCACGTTCTCGTTCTGAACCACGAGAATGTGAGGAAACGGATGCCTTGGTACATATAAAAAGGAACGGAAGGACCTCTAGTGTTACTCGGACACTAAGGGAAGAACCAACTGATTTAGTTAGGCAGAACAAAAAAAATCCACAGTTACCAAAGACATCAATTCAAGCCGTGGTGTCATCATTTGATCATGGGGAAGAATATAGAAGACATTGCTCTGTTGTCTTCGCTGTCATTCTAGCAGAGGCACATACGCGACGTGAAATCATACATAAATACGATAGACGAAGAATCAAACTCCTAAGTAACTTCAGAGAAGGAAGCATCATTATCGCCTTATCAAAACCACATCAAGGTCATTCTTTCAGCGCACACGATGAATTCGCATATAAAATGGAAGGCTTATCATCACAACATGAATCTCAATCATCACACAGAATTCAACAGCGACACTTACCACAGAGTGCCACAGCTGCCTCTGGAACACCAATAGATGACGAATGTAACAGTAATAAACAACATGAACAAAATAGAAGAAAAATAATCATAGGACACCTTTATGGTAATAAGCGCTTAAATGAACAGGCAAAAGAAAGTGAACAGAGCACTGCCACAGCAGTTCAACGAATGCCTGACGATGATGGAGTCAGATACAGGGTACAAGAAGAACAAAACAGACGTAACGCAGAAATAGAAGTCCGGCGCAAGGCAGAAGAAGAAGAGGCCAGGCGCAAGACTGAAGAAGAGGAAGAGGCCAGACGCAAGGCTGAACAAGAGGAAGAAGCTAAACGCAAGGCTGAACAAGAGGAAGAAGCCAAACGCAAGGCTGAACAAGAGGAAGAAGCCAGGCGCAAGGCTGAAGAAGAAGAAGAAGCCAG